TGCATCCGATGTGCGTCGTACGACGCTCTGCGACCAATCAGAAAACAGGATTCCGATGGATTTTGCTTCGTATCATCGGAATCCTGTTCCGCATAAGCGCACACCACTGTCACCACTAGCTACGCCTGCTACAAAATTCACTGCCAGCGCTGAAAATCTAGGCTGCGTTTGGAGTTAAGCGGGGAGCACAGACTCTTGCATAATGCATAAAACATGAGACATAAGAAATTGAACCAACCAGAGTTCTCTATTACATGGAAGGAAAAGAAACGGAGAACTTCGATTGGTATATATTCTTATGCATTACGTGTTATGCGTTATGCAAGAGTCTGTGCTCCCCGCTTTAGTCCTAGATTTATCAGAGAGGCGCAACCAGGCGCAACCAGGCGCAACCGGCGAACCGAGATATTAATGGTTAAAGTTGATGATCATTAAGATAAGGAAAATCTGTCATATTTGTTCATTTCGTGCAAAAATGCGTCGAATGACCTTAATCTCGTCGAAATCGATGAATAAGCCTGTTTTCTGCATAATTATACATTTTTTTTAATGTTAAAACAGGCTTTTAAGACAGATAATGCTAAGACAGAATATGAACTAACATATAATATAAAGATATTTGGAAAGATAATGTTTATCTTTAAACATTTTTATTTTTTAAATATTTAATTAACATACTTATGTTTAATTTTATAGTATTTTATTATATAATAGATATATTTTAGTTTTTAGTGTTCTTATGCTAAAGAGAGGATAGTGAATTAAATGAAAATAGAGGCAAAAAGTTTTTTATTTATTTAATACCTACAATCTTTTTATTGTCCGAGACGACCGTGATTTATCAAAAAGTAATGATACAAGAGTAACGTGATCAATTTCGTTATTCGTTACTAAAAAAAAATGTAACGTCGTTACAATTGTAATATAATAACGCGTTACTTATTTCTAACCCTGGTGTCTCCCACTATTGAATAGCCTGAGTTCCGACACCGACGAGTTACTATTAAAAATTTAATAATACTCAATTTTTCTTTAAAACTGTGATTTTAATGTTATACATAATGTCAAAGTTGAATTATCAACAGAGATATGATAAGTGCAGAAAAAAAATTGTAATTTTTCTACAATAAATAGGATATTATAGCTTTACAAGTGTGCATATTTATTTATGGAACATTTATGTAATTAAAAATCAGGAATTTTGATAATGTATGAGACAAATATTTATTATTTATGTTAATAATAGCAAATTTATGTCAATTGTCGGTAACGTCAGCGTTCTTCAATTATTTCCGGGCCCTTCTTATACCGCCAAAAATTTGCCCGAGGTCTTACAGTCTTTAATTGAGTTTAATAGTATTTCCTCGATGGTTCCAATCATAAAGAAAAGCATCAAAACATAAAAAAAGAAAATAACACTGAATGTGTGTGTAAACTAATAAGGACTAACTTTTGATACTTTCCAGCAAACGACACAGTGATTATGACATCTTCATTTAACATTAGTAAACAACAAAGATGTAGGCTGCTTTCCTTTCAGAGGACACACTCGACACAAACATAATTTTATCCTATTTGACATTCAATGAATGACAAAGATAGCAACGATAATTGTGTTGGCTGTGTCTCCTAAAAGGAAAGCAGCCGTAATGATTTATTGTATTGTACAGTGTGTCATCTGTGTCTCTTATTAATTAAGCCTTGTGTCCACGATGCTAGAAATCGGATGAAGAAAGAATTGACCAATCGCAATGGTCATGTGATCAAATTGTTCAAATGTGATTTGTTAATTTTTTCTTTGTCCGAGATCTCGGACCGATTTCTAGCATCGTGGACACAAGGCTTTAGGCCGGAATCAGACTGCGCATTGAAGAATGAGATTGAAAGATTGAAGTTTGACCAATCAGAACAAGAGGAGCCAAAATTTCTTTGTCCTCATTGGTGAAATTTCAATTTTTAATCTTCAATCTCAATCTTCAATGCATAGTCTAATTCTGGCCTTAAAAAGCACCCTTTGTCAGAGTTTGTGCCTAAAATAAAACACGTTTAAAATCTAAATATATACATATTTAAGATAAACACAAGAATATTTATTTGTAAAGTAACATATTTGTGATAAGAATATGAACTAAAAATATATATGTGTAGGGTGCGTGAGGTGTGCATTATCGACTGTGTCGACAGAAGCGCATGGTGTGTATGTGTGCGTGTGGCGCGTCGGTCGAGAGTTAAATACAAAGAACGCGAAAACGCGTTCTTCTTAAATTTTAAGAGACGAAAGACGCGTTCCCCCGAGAAGACGTGTGTTGCGAGAGAATATTTTTCAAGCGCGAGTACGTTTTCGAAAAAGCTAGAACGAGCGAGATTTTATCCAAAGACAGAATTAAGAGTCGCGAGAGATTTACGCGTCGTGGCGTGCAAGAGCATCGCGAGTTTTCCAGAGGCGCCCGTGCGAAGAGAGAATTATAACGAGTGTCGATAGCGAGACGTCTGTGAGTAAATATACTTATTCAACTTACATCAACTTACTGTTAGCAAGATGTTATATCTTATTCCTAACGTCCCACATACATTTGTTAATAAAAATTATTTTAAAAATATTTTGCAAATAAAGATAACATAGAATTCTCGTGTACAATATATAATTTGTATAATATTCAATAATAATAGTGATCAGTTATAATCCAGACTTCTTGCAAATCTACTTCAATAATTTTTATATATGAAACCCATGATCAGTAAATTTATTTTTCACAAGTAATATCATTATTATAAGATTTGTATATAATATAAAAAATAAACTTCAATAATTATCATCCTCCAATTATAACATTCAATAATTATTATCCTCCAATTATAGCAAACCACTTGTAAACCTATTTCAACATTTTTATACATAAAATTCACAATTAATAAGTCATTACTATTTGTTAAATAAAGTTCATTATATATGGTTCATTATATATTTGTGCTTGCAATATTAAAAATTAAAAATTTCAATAGTAACAATACTCACGCAATTTTATCAAATCACTTGCAAATTTTCACATTTTCACTTAATACACATAAAAGCTATTGTAAACAATTGTAGATTCTTTCTATTCTAGAATACTACCTGCATACATGTTCACTATATAAAAAAGTAACTGTAAAATGTATTTCATGATCTTTATGCATAAATTAAAAAGTAATATTAAAATTAGATTTTAAAAAGTCACAGAATACAATGATTGCCTCAATTTTAAGATAGGAGCTTATTTCTGATGAGTTTCCAGAAGTATCAAATATATATATATCTAAAATATGAATTATAATATAAGTTTATCCTGTTTGATACATATCAAATCAGATATTGGAATTTAATACACCAAAATTAATACTAAATATTAATTTGAAATAAGACGTAAAAATCGTTGCACTATTTCGTAATAATAATTTTTTTTCTTTGTTCCTTTATTTGCACAAATATTATCAGTTGCATCCTTATCATTATTAAGATTGTTATTTGCGTTATCGTGAGTTATCAAGATATCAGGTACATTTTTGTCACATTTTCGTAACTTTCATTGTGACTTCCATTAGGACTTTCGTTGAAACTATTGTCAACACTTTTACTTGTTGTTGCTTCAGCACTACAGTTATTCGTAAGCTCGGGTTCTGTGTTTAACGTCATATCACGGATACACTTTCTTATCTCGTGCCCGATAGCAGCTGCCAATGGTGGTGGCACCGCATTACCAACCTGTCGATGCTTATCAGTTATTGTGCCGAAAAAACGATATGAATCGAGAAAGCCTTGCGATCTTGCACACTCTCTCACACTGACAACTCGATTTTGTACTGGATGCAAAACACGGCCCTGAAAGTCAATTATTAGATTTAAATTAACGATTTTCCAAACAAATTTGTATAGCCGCATAATGCATAGAAAAAATTAACTAATTAAAGTTATAGCACACAAAATGACATTAGATACAATCCAGTTAATGTTGCCAATGCTTTGAAGCATTCTTTGATTGGTCAGTTCGTTCTTTCTTCTGATCAATCAAGTGTTTGCAACATTAAGGAAATCGCATCTCTAGCTTTCTAAATTACAATAGGTACATTCACTGAGCGCTCAGTGAGCGGTTGTAGTATTAAATGCACCTAGTATCTCTAGTTTTGTGAATGTTAATGTAAATAGTAAATAGAGTTGGCTACATTAACCTAAATAGTGGTTAATTTCAACGATTAATATCTTGCTTCACAGGGTAGAGTACTACTTTTTTCTTCCAGATTCTTTTGTTTCGTACAAAAACTATATCGAGATTGCAGAATAGGAATTAATTTGTAGTATTTTATAAAATTATTAAAAATTAGATTTCATACTTTCATCATTTTAAATTACTAGTGTATCAATTTAAATATTTATCAACATACTTGTTTACCCATTGGTTCCGGATTAGTGATAGTCGTACTGAAAAACCCATTCCATTCAATTCTTCCGTACAAACCCTTCCAATTATT